ATGGAATGAGACAGATTCTTTATCGTTCTCCTTAGTAGAAAGGTAGTAAGTCGGTTATGTTGTACATTTTCGATTGCTGACTGTGATTTAGTGTCGATCCATTGTCTCAAATGTTACGTTGCTATATCATCACCAACTTCATTCTATTTATTATAGTGTTTAGTGTTGGCCCCAAAAATCATTCTTACTACCCTTGTCTAATATACTATCCACTTTTTCCGTTTACCAGCTTCATCTTTGTGATCACTTCATTTCTTGAAGATTATCTATGTTGCGAACATGCATTTTAGGACTTATCAACTCCTTTGAAGTCCTTTAAACAGTGTGCTTCGACTCGCTAAGAAGCAATTGTCAAACACTTTTTGGTGTGTAGTGATAGTCTTAGTTGAGGTGTGCTCACCACTGTTTTAAACGCTAAGTAAGCTGAATGCCATTTAAGTAGTCTCTGAATTTTGTATGATCCCAAAACAAACGAACTGAATTTTTTCACAATTTTATCTTACAGCATAAGGTGGTCATAGTTTCTAAACTACCTGAAGGCTTCTGACATGGTTTATTGTTTTCCTTACATAGGAGAAGTGCATTTCGAAGTATTATGAGCATAATAATGGTAGTATATTTTCAAAAGACTAACGTTACACGAGGCGTGCTAGTTTAAAGGCTTGGTGCAATCATTACAATTGATCGATCACTTGGTGGTTATAAGTGTCATGTGTGTCAAGTCCTTCTTAGCACAGATCGAATGCTATGGATCGAGTTATAATGTGGCCACCAGTCCAGGTGACTCGACATTGCGTGCACCATGTTGAGACTAAATGGTGGTTGAAGGTATTCAACAGGAAACCCTGGAATCGGGTTTCATGCTACTTGGCACTCGTCAGCAAGGTGTACCTGTACTGGTGGCCACATTACAACTCCATCGGTGGCACTCGATCTGCACCAAGAAGGACTTGACACACATGACATTGATCGCCACCAAGTGGTCAATCAATTGTGATTACATCTCGTTCCTACAGGAGGTAGGTCGCGGCCCGGATAGCTCAGTGGTAACGTCTCTGACTGTGAAGCTGGGTGACACGGGATCAAATCCGTCAGGGGACACCAGTTCCTTCAAGACAACAGGTACACCTTGCTGACGAGTGTCGAGTAGCCCGAAACACGGGCCCAGATTTGTTATAAAGCACACTGATGATATAATCCAGGGAATAACATTTCTCGTATACGAATACAAATAATGTTAGTAAAACTGAAATTGTCCAAATAAGCGTTGTCGCCCTTTATGGAGATTGCGTTTCATCGTGCCATTGATGGTCGGGAATGGATCCACGTAAAGTTGAGAGCTTTTAGAACTCAAGGTTATATACTTCTGGAATATGTGAAGTCACAAACTGACTATAAGGAGAAATGTCTACAACTCTTGATTCGTGTGTATTCTAAGAGACGTTCGGAAAACCAGAAGGTCCCGTTCGAAACTGATAGAATCAGATATCTTAGGATCAACAGTCACGTCTCAATTCCTAAATATTCTATGAATCTTTCTGGACATCAAAATGAACGATTAAGCAAGAGTGCTACAAAATCATGGAACAGCGGAATTAGCATTGACTTGTTAAGACCATAAATCATATTATGTCGAGAAGAAACACATCGGCAATCCATTACCACTTCACACTTATACTTACGCTCGTATGTGATCCCAATTAATCACAAAGTATACTTGCTATGCACAATCAACCAGTCGAATAATCACGTTTACCAGGAAATTCGTCGCTTAATCTCATAGTTTAAGTCAATAAACACTAACGAAAGTTTCATATTTTCCCACAATATCAGAAATAGAATTCCTAAACCACCAACACTTTCGTGGCCCGATAGTTGATTTTTAATATGGACAGCCAAATTTTATATTCCCTGTGGAAAGAGGAATGCAATGTGATAAGTGCAATAAGTGATTCCACAATATGTGCACTCATTCAAATCCCACTGTATACAGAAAATGCTCAAAGCCTAACTCCCATTAGCTCGTAATATTTTGTTGTTCAAGCAAGATATTACTAACCCAGGAGACAATAAGCCTTCTGGTGTTGGCCGGCAAAATGTTGATCATGGCTGAACTGATAACATGGGCACTGATAGCGAAAAGTGTTGCAATGTGGTAAGTGCTAATATGCGACAATCCAAACACCCGACCGAACAACATGCAATAGAGAAATTTCTCTTGAAACAATTAAAAAGTGAAACAACACTTGGCATTGGTGGTTATGTTGCTATAGCAACAAGTGATGACTTAGATAAAACCATCTTTTCCGAAGGGTCCCTATGTGGATGCTCCGACTTTTGAGAAATGGCAGATAGTGCGAAGACAAGGGAGAAGAGAAAAAGATACTCATAAACAATATCCGTCTAGTTGACAAGTCTTTGGTACGCTCAGCCTATGCGTCGAACGTTACTCTACCAAAGTTCCAAAGTGAGACGATATTTAACCCTGACCTAACTAGAAAACGTCTGGTTTTATCGGATAATGTTTTGGGTAATTCACTCGAACTAAACGATTGTGTTTCAAGAACAACCGAGGATAAGCGCATAGTAGATCGCGAGCAGGAAATGACATCATGATCAAAAACCGTGAACATGACTTTCAAATGAGTAAAATCCGTCCCTAGTCTAATTATCGGGAATCTGAGAGGGTCAAAAGATTATGAGTTTTCCAAAAGGCATGAACGCAACTTGGATTTAGTTGAATCTGCAAATAGAAATGTACTGTAAAAATAGGTTTCAGTACATATCACGAAAGTAATAAGACTTAGTGAGGTAGTTAGAGGTGACATTCAACAAAAAAGGTCTTAAAGTTAGTTCTCGGAAATTATGAGGAAAGAGATGTCATACTGAGTAACGCATACAAAAGTCGTAATTCTAATGTTCATATCGGACTGAACAGGCAGCTTGATGATGGAATCAAGTGGAATAATGACCTTACCGGGTCAAAAACTCGAAAGTAAAAAAACCCTTAAGATTCAGGTCTTTCGGAAGCAGTCTTCCAAGACCTGTATAAAAAGAATGAGTGATTCTCAACCATTATTCAGTGTACACTTATACAAAATATCGCTAAACCAACATATATTGACTTGAAACATGAAGTCATTGCTGGACCTTGTATTTACACACCACTGTGACGATGTCATCGACATTTGGCGCCTTCCCCTGCTAGAAGATGGTGATCACGTTGCACTTTACCTTAGATTTTGGACACATGGTATACAAAACGTATCTGCTTCACCCTATCCCAACATCTGGCGAGTTAGCATTCCGACAATTAGAAACTGTAAAATCTCAGCAGACTAGTCGGATAACGCAGATGAATCGATCAAAGACAAGTAGGACAAGCTTAAGGCTACATTTGATTCCGTAACATTACCGTACATCCCACGGTCAACACGTAGGCTATCACATTGTCCTCCATCGGCTAATAATGAACACCAGAAGCTGCTGAAGCGTAAGAAACACTTCTGGATCTTATCTTTGTCAACAGGCCATGAATCATATAAGTGCGGGTACTGAAAAATTAGAGATATTTGTAAAAAGACCGTAGCTAGTGCCGCACCATTTACAAAATAGAGTAGGTATATGATAGCCGTACTTGTCTGAAACAGCTGTTTTTTGTACATTAAACGAAGAATAAAGCGTAGTGATGGCTAAGTTACTAAGTCACATAGAATCATAGAATCTGTTAACCCCCTAGCAACACGGGCATCGAAACAAGCATTCTTGCTTAACTGACTTACTAATTACAAGAAAGGATCGAACGGTTTGTCTGTCGGTGTGATATTCATACATTTAGTCAAAGCATTTGACAAGGCCTCTCACACAGGTCTTATGCAGAACCTTCCGAGCTTCCGAATAACCGGTGCTGTACAGAAATGTATAAGTGACCTCTTTTGTCACCGAAGACGAAGAGTGTGGAGTTAAATAGGTTGATCTCTGAATAGAACCAAGTCAAAAGTAGCATAATCCAAGGCACCATCTTAATTCCCCTACATTTCCCTACCTACGTTAATGAATTACCGTGCTTGCTTAAATTATGGACACTGTTATTCGCGGATAATGTAAAATCTGGGGAGCAATAAAGAGTGGGACTGATCGTTTTGATCTTCAAGCTGACGTAGACGAATTAATTAGATTATCTCAATGTTAGGGCTTAGGATCTAATTCTAGAAATAGTGTGCTCATGCACATCGGACACGGTAACGGTTACCACCATGCTATCAACAGTTCACCTTTTCCTAGAGTGCAGGAACATAAAATCTTGGGAGAAATGTTGAGTCACGACTTGAAAATAAAAATACTCATTGCAACATAGCCGCCGCCAGAGGTTTCCGTGTGTTGTAATCACTTCACCAAACATTCAAATGCTTTGACCAGATGTTTCGAGTCTTATGCACCATCTACGTAAGACCACACATAAAGTTCTGTATCCAAACTGCTGATTCATGTCTTATTAAGGATACTTACTCACTTGAGCGTTTTAAGCGCGTGGGAAAAATAAGTGAAAAGTCTTTCTAAACCCGCTTGTGATGAGAGCTTAAAATGCATGATCTTTTCCCCTTATGGTCTCGTAGAACGAGAGGTGACCTTATATTGAAATTCCGTGTCTTTAGTTACGATGTGGGTGTTAATGTGGTTTATCTGTTTGCTCCTTACAGCATTGGAACTCTTCGTGGCCATAGAAAGAAGACTCAAAAACTGAGATCTAATAAAGTCAAAGTGGGGTTCCGTTTTTCTCATCCAGTGGTCAGTGTCTGGAACACCTTACCCGAACAAATAGTATCAGTCCTATCGGCAAACACTTTCAAAGAGACCTTCACTAGAAAACAAACTGTTAGGATTATTACAAGTCCACTGACATACTATCATTATTAATGAGGACTGAAGACCGATATCGAACACATCAGTCATATTTCGTTGTTTCAACCGTGCGCTGCGTGTAATTTTCTTCAAGGTAACTTGATCAGCAAATTGTTTGTATTTAAATCGCTATTCTTCATAAGTAGAAATGTTTTAATTCATGGTCACAAGTACATGTCTATTACTGTGAGGATGTCTTTAGACTTCAAAATGCACCAGTCTGAGAAACAAACATTTGATATGTTTTTGTCTGGTGATAAGTAAGCTGAGGTGCGTGCTTCGAAAGATTACCATCGTTGAATTGGTTCTTCATTCAGTCCACATGCTATGCTTTTCCACTTATCACAGTTCACTATGCCTTTCGGTGGAGTGTAAGGTTAATTTATTTGACCCTAAGGCAAGCAATCTATCTCAGTGGACATAGTTGTGATAATTTCCTTCTTGATCGAATATTATGGCTTGCGTTTAAATCTTCAATTTGGATACAAGTAGTCTTTTATAATTTTGGGGTAACTAGGAACGAACAAAAGATAAATTTTTCCATTATTAACTTCTAATAATACCAACACCAGCTTTCATCTTTATGTGATGGTTAGGTTTGCATATTCTGATGACCCAGTGGATATATATATTAGACAGAATATTCATTCTTTCATGTCCTACCATACCAGACAGTTTGGTCTTTGAGTTGTAAGTTTGAAAGTAATAAACTCATGGTCTGGGACGAATTTTTACTTCTGAATGTACAAAAGCATAACGGCAGTTAAGAGTTTTTGTGGCGATGTTTTCTCTGGATAACAGAAGGAGAGCGTGGGGATGGCCTCAGAAATATCGCTGTTAAGGCCCTAAAGGTATAGTTCTAGGTCGTTCGAAACTCGATAGGGTGCCGTACATTACTGGCTTGAAGCAGTTGTCTGTTTTTCACTTCATTTGCGCTTTCTAGTCGTTTAGATCACTTCCAACCCAATCTCCTTTGTAGGTGCCTCACTGAGAATTGTCCTTCGACAGTTTGGGCAACGTGCGAGTGACAGCTTTCCTCCTACAACACGTGAAATCACCTCGTTCATCATTAAGCCCTATCTTCATTACCTAGCTGAAACAAGTTTACAGATTACATATTTATCATATATGCATCAATGGCTTCAGTGTTTGCACGTTTTCTGATTTATCAGAATTACTGTGGTTGAACCTGCTTTTTTTTTACTATGAACGTCTGTTCAGAAGAACTCAGCCTTCAGCTTTCTTTTCTCTCATATACTTTACGAGAAACTACTTGTGACTTGGAAGAATGCCGATATTAATATTGGTCCGGCTTTTTTACTGTGACTGTGGAATAGTTGTTACTTATTACAGTGAAACAAGATTACTACACCGACTGAAGAAAGGAAGATAGTGTAAATCTAGACTTATTCATTAACTGACCACTGATCAAAGAGACTTCAAAGCTAACAATAAGGTGTATATCATTTTAAATTTCCAGTTAATGGATAAATTTTGGACGGGCAGTGGTTAACGTAAATTAGTTAACAGTTCAGTTTCTATATAACTTACAAAATGGATAAGTTTACCTACTTGACTGAAAAATATAGCTCGTCACTGAGTTGTACGTTTGTTTTTTGACCCAACTTTATACTTCTATTTCTGTATCCAACCACATCTTAGATTCCTCTGAACGACTTTCTAGTCTGAAGGATATATTGCTAACTTTACCCCGTTTCAAGATGTCTTTTGAAACTGAAATCTTTTCGTGTGGCTATATTCTGTAGCAGTCGTCCTCGAGGTGTAATTAGTTTACTACCAACACCGTCTGTGGTAGAAGTCTCCTATGCTCAATTAACACCTGAGAACCGTAAAAATTGACTGGTTTAGTTAAGTTCTATTGAAACATCCATAATTCACTGTGCTCATTAATCACTAAATAATTATGTTGTAAACGAAACCATTCCCAAACCGTTGCTGGTAATGTAATTCCATTTTATCTAAATTACTCAATCTTTAATGGAACACAATAGCTTACGCAATGTGTCAAGAGCGGAAAACTGAGAAAGGTTTGAACAATCAAATGTCCCAAGTCTTAATATTGGATTGCTGATGAATGTCGATTAACACAAAATCTAAGTTAAAGGGGATACTGCTGATTGTTTCTAATCATTGGACATCAAAAAAGTGCGATACGATATCGGGTCTCTAAGACTTTGTTACGTAAATGCGAATCTGTGTAAATTACAGGACATTTTCATCAGAAAATGTATGTTTCGTAAAATTAAGTTCAATAGTGGATGAGCAAATGGATCGTAACACACCCTGATAATATAGACTGTTTCGGGAGATAATAAGAACAAATAATCTGTGAGTAAATTATAAGAGTCCAGACACGTGGTTATCACATCAACTATATATGCCTAACCTAGGAAATACTAAATATCCAAAGTTTCCAAGCTGATCCCCATCGTTATGAGAACACTTACACTGATTGATAACTATGAATGAATTATTGTTATGCATTTCTAGTCCTCTGCACTGATTAGGTTATATTGCTCGAGTTTTTTTGTGTTTAGCAGCCGCCAAATGGTACAGTCGAGAGTGGGGAAAGTCATTTCTCTCTCTCGAAATGCTCTCACATGACCACGTGTCAAGGAAGTCATACTACATTCTCGCGGCGGGGATGTTGTTTACAAAATTGAGAGGACGAAAAGCGAATGTTCGGCGCTTTAACCGGATCGGTGGACACGGAGAGTCTACCTAGGGGAATTGAAGAACCCTGATTCCAAACCAATGGTGCACATGGGTTCTGGGGTCCTGAGGGGACAAATGACGTATGAACCTATTGTTGTTCATCAGCTGCCATGGGACTGCATCCCCTAACGTTCCCCACCATCTTGTGGTTTAGACCTCTAGGTCAAATGTTCGAGGAGTGGCTCCTTAAGAAAACCATTTGCTATGGTTTGGGCACCCGAGAAGTATTCAATCCCTCACACAAATCGAATGGCGAAGTATAGCGCATTTATATTTGATGCCTTCTTGTACCAATGTTTATGTGTTAGAATAAAATAAATATTTTGAAATGCCAGATTATATACAACTGGTACTCTTCATATTTGCGTACTTAGGTTTTTGTAATCGTCACTTGAATTCTCTATATATTACATGCAAATAGAGAATGAGTGTGGCCAAGAATTCACTGGATAACACGGGAAATTCCAATGATGCTATCGATTGGGATGTATGCCTACTTTTTATTCGGTCGTGTCATGTATTTTAGGATATGGTTTATCATCCAGCATTCGGAGCAGATATTGATCCCAAAGCAGGCTTACATCCAGCTACTGAAGCTTTGCAAGCACTGAAATATGAATCAGAAGATCCAGATGGTAAGTTCACGTACCATACTGACTAGTTATTTTAATGATTAGCTAATGCTCGTAGTTACAAAGAAGAAGGAAATTATTATTATAAGGGAAAAGACTTTTCTAAAGCGATATTGTCTTATACAGGTGGCCTACGTGCAAAGTCATCAGATCGTAAATTAAATGCAATACTGTATACCAATAGAGCAGTATGCCATTTCTATCTAAGTAAGCGTTATCTTTAAAATCATCATTCTTTTTCTTTAGAGAATTACCGATCATGTATTCGTGATTGTAAGTCTGCTGTCAGTTTGTCACCGGATTATGTTAAAGCTTATGTAAAAGGTTTAGAGTTTTTTTAATACTAAAACTTCATTTTAGGAATTGAGGCTTGCCTAGCACTTTCAAAAATTGATGAAGCTTTAGAATTGTCATCAACCGGCTTAAATATACTGCCTTCTTCTCCTGAATTACTTGAAGTACAGTATAAGGTTCTTAAAAAGCAAATGGAATTAGATAAGGAGGTTGAACAGCGATCAAAATTGGATTGTAGAAAAGAAAATGATATGAATACTGAATATGAGATTTTAAAGGTAATTAACCGATTTTTATTGTTAATTGACAATATAGAACTTTGCATTTTATCACATGTTTGGTCGTAGTCCAATTTTGATAGTGTTCAGAAATAGACAACTTGGTACTTCGTTATTTAAATATATATATATTTATATATATATATCCCTTCCCTTCAAGTCATTTTCTGTTTTGATATCCTAACTGTATTCATGAAACTTCGCTGGAAATGTGTAGTTTAACTGCATAGTAATTTATGGTCTCAGTTTACTTATTACGGGCTTCTAAGCGTTTTTTATTCGGCTATCTATTACATTTTGGTTCTGTGCAATCACGAGACGATCATGACTCATACTACTTATCTTGGAAACTTACAATCCCCGGTCGTCAATACTCTTTAGTCCTCTCACAGAAATAACACAAGTTAGGCCTGATAATTGAACCATAAGATATTTAGGAGGGTAGGTCAATTATGTCTACCAACCTCATTGTACTAAACCCTAGCTCTGAAAAATGGTCTCCTACGTAAGGAGTATTTTCTGCATAATATTGTTTTAAAAAGCTGCCATAGTGATTAGCGAGAGTTTAACTAGCAAATAGTTTTCAAAATTGAAGGCTATGACTTAATATTATGATTTTGCCAAACAATTTTCCTCAAAGAGACAATTTCTGAATCTTTAATCATTTATTTTATAACAGTTGAAAAAAAACACAGAAAAATATGACGTTAATGTTTATCAAAATCCACTGTTGATTGCAGTACGTAGAATGTGTAATTTTTCCTGAGTTTAATGAGTCCTCCAACATGTGGTCAAGAAACTATCTTCTGATTTATACCCTGATAGTCTGCAAATTCCATGAATTCCCCTAAATGCTTCACTTACAGCTTTTAGTTTTCCGAAACTTGACATTCATATCTTATCACTTTTACACTATCTAGTCACGTGGAATTGATGTTAATCTCAAATTAAAACCTATTGATATGCCAGAAGTGGGTTGTTCCACATTTTATGTGGATTCATTGGGTAAATTTCACTGGCCTATTCTTTTTATGTATCCTGAATTCGGACAAACTGATTTCCTCCGTGATGTAATTGAATCAAGCATGTAGGTTTTCTTTATTGTACGGTTTTATATTTTCCTAGTGTTACATCCACTTCATTTTTGTTCCAATGAAAATAGATATAATTTAAGTCGCTAATAAGAATTATTCAGTCACTAAACCATAGGAGTACCGTTGTGTCCTCGAGATTTTTTAACTGTACAGTTAATACGTTAACCTTACACTTGCTAGCCTTTTCCATGACGCAACTTCAGGTCATTTAGTTACAGAGTATACACTCCCATGCAGAACTTTGAACTAGATATATTATCAGTCCGTTCGACGCAAAATGAGTGGATTGACGTTGAAACTTACCTTCCATTGTGCAGAATTTGAATATTTAAACTACTAAGTTAGAACTTCATAAGTCGAATAATTTTTATTGCAACGAATGCATTTTATAATCCTAACAAAATCCTGATGTGAAATAACTTCACACATGTTTTATATTAGAAGCTACTATATTTTTACACTATAGTCCAATAAATTGGATAGTTTTTACGAACTCAAATTAGTGTTTCTCATTACAGGGAATTATAGTTTTGTCCTAGCGAATTTATTTATCGCATAGTTACTGGTTGTCCGCACTTCTAATAAAATAATAATAAATATTATGCTATATGAAACACATCCGTATAAATCTCCCAGCTCTTGACTTGATGAGAAAAGAATATTAGTCTCAAAATCGGTTTATCAAAAAGAGTAATTTTTTTCATTCACAGCCAGCAAGTGATTTTTAAAAAATATGTTGCTGAACTATAAATTGACTGACTGTAGTAATAAACCTTAGGACCATGAAAGCGGGGTTTACAAAATATAATACTCTTACAAATCAATAACAGCGGTAGAAAAAGGCATCTAGTCATCAATCTCACTCCCCACATTTCTGGTTTGAAACTAACAGTTTAGATATGAATTTACATAAAAATGTTTGTTTAAAATATGAGTTACTCGTGAGTAGTTGAATGATGCAAAGTAAGGATCGCTTTTACAATTTTTATTCAGGATCATTGATTGTTTAAAGTTAGTTTTTGATGTGAATCAGCCTCCTCCACCGTGGGATCCGAAGCGCCTATACTCCCTTGAAGATGATGCTATAGAGGTATTATTTTTAATCATAATATAAGTGTTATATTTTCTAAAGTGTTATCTTTTAGATTAATATTTCAGTCTATATTCCTTTTATTTGTTGTCCAGTATTGTTGACACTACTTTTATTGTTAAGACTCTTTAAATGTCCTCTACTTAAGCTAATGAGAAATGTGTTGACTTGTGCCGAATAACATTTATACCAACTCTTGCGTTAATAGATGTTTGGAATTGAAGCCTATTCTGTGATATTCTAGTATACTTAATGATGGGAGAATTCCAATGCTTCATATGCCTATCCATCATGTAAATTTACTACCAGTGAAGTTTGATGATTCTTCATTTAAGAAAGGATTCTAACAAATTAAAAGCAGAAACAAATCCGTGGTCTTCAACAATATTTTATGTGAAACATCAAGTGCTAACTTAGGAATTCAATGAACATGTTTCAGATTTGGTTGCAGAGAAAAGGTTTATAAACAAATCACGTGGAACGTTTGCTACAAGTTGGAGATGGTATGCTCTGGGATTTCCTTAAAATTTAAACTTCCTTTACATAAATTTTCAACACAATACTAGATTTACTCTTGTAACAAATGTTATGATTACTAATTACAGTGTATCTGCTCTAAAGTGCGTGTGAGTAAAGTAATATCCCCCACAATTTTGAAGTCAAAAGGTTTTACTCTAAAATCACCTACATCATAATGTTAACAAAAAAGCTAAAGAAGAAGCCAGACAATGCATAGCTCTGTTTAATTCCACTGTTAATGTAAAGGGAATGAATCATCGTTTTTTCCCTACTCATATATTCTGCTGCCAGATTTCCAGAACCTTAGTTTTAGATGCATAAATTCATAGAAGTCCTGTTTAAATAGTCTAAAACATTCGTAATACCAATAATAATTGCAATGACCAAGTTGCGTTTGTTAATTTTGAACTAGGGACATTAATGATTCCTGTGAGATCGTTGCTTAGATACCTTCCGGGGGCTTATTAGGTATATGTAGTCAAAATGCCGGAAGTTTTATTTTGAAGAACCTCCTGAAGATTCAGATTGTCAGTAAATGTTGGAGTGACTGAATTTACTGTATTTTTGTGAAGTGCTGTGATAAGTCTTAACAACAATAACACCACTTAGAGGTTTCGTAATTTACACCTATTTAATCCAATTGACATCTTAGCCATTTATTCAAATCCTAGTCCACACCGTTATAAATTAAAAATTATGGTGTTTATAACCCATACTACCTAAACGCGCAAACTGATGCACATGGAGTCAGGGTCAGTTGCTTTCTAATGACCAGTATACGCCTTTTAAAACTTATTTCGTTTTCGTTCCTTAGCCAAGTTCATTCGTTTGACAATTTTAGGATTGAAGATTTTCTTTCCTTACTATTCACCCAGGTTTATTTTGAACATGATATAATGAAGAAGTTTATTCTTTGTTCACCGCAATGTACAATCAAAAAACTAACTAAACAAAATGGGTAAGTGTTTTCCCCAATAATTATGATCGTGGCAGTTTATTCATCATGTATAAGGTATGATTATAAAAATGTTTATTCAAGAACGGTATAAATTATAGTTTGGTGGCTACGTGATTAAAACAGTAAACTCTCAGCCACTGCGTTTGAATCTCACTGCATTTACTTCAGTCCAGTATCATCGTCCTATTCCTATACAGGAACAACGTATAACAATTACGTTATGAAAGAAATTATAACAGTTTGCAGTGTTAACTAGTTATTTTCATAACGCGGTCTTTACTTACCTATATCTACAGAATAAAATGTACTCAGATTGTAGTTAGCTAGTTCGTCAACTGAAAAATAAGTCATCAGCAGGTAAATTGTCCTTCAGCGAAATTAACGAGTTGTTCTAGCAGTGCTCATTGTTAGTGTTGCGCTTATTTGATTCAGCGAAAAGTCTACTACCGTATGTTTTGAAAATAATTGTTTCTGAAATCACTACATGAATCTTCCTAATTCTGGACGGATTGGGTGATTTATCGCTTTATAAAACTAATTTTCCATTCCTGGTCTTCAAGCCCATGTCAAACAACGTGATGTATACACATGAGTTTTTAAATATACTATTTATAGCAGTAGTCAATAATTTCTTCAGTGTTCATTCATTTAAGTTGTGCTGATATTTTCTATTGTTTGGAAATCTCGTGTAAAAGCTACATAAATCGATGAGATTATCAACAAGATTTGTTAATTTTGCGTATTCGATAAATTGCGATATCTTTGTCAAAATAGTTAACTAATTTTCGTAGACTCTCGCTTTTCAACAAACAAATGTACGTGTACTGTCCTTGGGAATATTCCAATTTCAATTCATTCCTTAGATAAATATATATACTTTAACTTTGGTGGTTTTATGGGGTGGGGCCAATTTCATTTTAATCACCAATCGACGACATGTATACTGAATGCCTCATATTTTTAATTAGTTAACGAATGTACTTTAATTCCCCATGAAAACTGTCTTTTAAGTAATTATATTTTAACTAATTTATTTTTGAATATTGGTGTTTCATTCTTCTGTCTACTGCTAAATTTTGTTATCAACAAATTATCATTTTGCTTTTGTCCTTTTGTGTAGATTTAGTGTCGGCAGAGATTTACTCATTATTTTACATGTGATATCTAAACGATCAACACATTTCTATAGTAGTTGGAAAGACGAGAAAATTTAACTTGATTGACTGTCTAGCTTTACGCGTTATTTGTAGGAATTATCCGTTTTTTTTAAATACTGGATAAAATAAAACCCCATTTTAGAAGAAAAGCTTTATCTATTTTTCCTCTGTCTTGTCTTTGTTCAGAGCTTTTGGCTTATGATCAAAGTAAAGATTTCCAAAAATAACTAGATTTATAATGAATTTAAGAACGTATCACTGAGATACAACTCAACATTATACAGAATAATGCGCTTAATATGACAGGTGTATAAGACGGATTTTATAATCAGTTATTAATATATTTATATTGTCAATTATTTTGGCCATGGTAGGTTATAAAAAATGACCAACGGATGTCCGCAATGTAAATCGTGCCCTAATAGGCTTTTTTACGACACATCTGGGATCCTGAGGCAAACGATGCTTCCTTTGGTAGTTGAGCCCAATTCAGCATTGAGTACCAAACATGATAGAAACTGGTAATCTAGTCATATGATGTACCTCACTATATGTACATTACAAATGCATCAATTTCCAAATGAGCAGCAGTCGACTAAGAAACTAACCAAGATAGTATGGTTCCTTTAGATAGCAAGTAAATGCTGGATATAAACATTTTTAGTTTGCTCGCCCTATACTGAATAATTCAGAATGGTGTTTTATTACTTATTTAAATACATAAACGTTGATACAAGACAGCATCAAATATATATGCGCTACACTTCGCCATTCGATTTGTGTGAGGGATTGAATACTTCTCGGGTGCCCAAACCATAGCAAATGGTTTTTCTTAAGGAGCCACTCCTCGAACATTTGACCTAGAGGTCTAAACCACAAGATGGTGGGGAACGTTAGGGGATGCAGTCCCATGGCAGCTGATGAACAACAATAGGTTCATACGTCATTTGTCCCCTCAGGACCCCAGAACCCATGTGCACCATTGGTTTGGAATCAGGGTTCTTCAATTCCCCTAGGTAGACTCTCCGTGTCCACCGATCCGGTTAAAGCGCCGAACATTCGCTTTTCGTCCTCTCAATTTTGTAAACAACATCCCCGCCGCGAGAATGTAGTATGACTTCCTTGACACGTGGTCATGTGAGAGCATTTCGAGAGAGAGAAATGACTTTCCCCACTCTCGACTGTACCATTTGGCGGCTGCTAAACACAAAAAAACTCGAGCAATATAACCTAATCAGTGCAGAGGACTAGAAATGCATAACAATAATTCATTCATAGTTATCAATCAGTGTAAGTGTTCTCATAACGATGGGGATCAGCTTGGAAACTTTGGATATTTAGTATTTCCTAGGTTAGGCATATATAGTTGATGTGATAACCACGTGTCTGGACTCTTATAATTTACTCACAGATTATTTGTTCTTATTATCTCCCGAAACAGTCTATATTATCAGGGTGTGTTACGATCCATTTGCTCATCCACTATTGAACTTAATTTTACGAAACATACATTTTCTGATGAAAATGTCCTGTAATTTACACAGATTCGCATTTACGTAACAAAGTCTTAGAGACCCGATATCGTATCGCACTTTTTTGATGTCCAATGATTAGAAACAATCAGCAGTATCCCCTTTAACTTAGATTTTGTGTTAATCGACATTCATCAGCAATCCAATATTAAGACTTGGGACATTTGATTGTTCAAACCTTTCTCAGTTTTCCGCTCTTGACACATTGCGTAAGCTATTGTGTTCCATTAAAGATTGAGTAATTTAGATAAAATGGAATTACATTACCAGCAACGGTTTGGGAATGGTTTCGGCCCATGCTCCATTGGTAGTAACAGGCGTAAGGAAGTAAGTAATTCTTTTATTGTTAAACGATATCGTTAAATTAAACAGATGTATACTGTCCGGAGGGTTAAGAATTAATAATAAGGAGCTAACAAAATTACGCCGTATATATATAATTTAGTCTTGAGAACAATCTACTAGATAAATGAATGTATGGTATGTTGGGTTTAAAAGTAAAACCATGTACAAATAACAAATTTAGAGAAATTAAAAACGGATAATAATTTTCCATATATATAAGAATGATATGTATGCATGAGTAAAGTGGAATGAGACAATGGAAAAAATATTCAAAGAGAAAAACAGTAATCATAATAAGCATAAAATAATATGTAAAGGACAATAAATTTATAGTGGGTGGTACAATAAGTAAGTGTGCGTGTGTATACTACGTATGAATGGATAAGTGCGAAAAAAAGTCTCAAATATTGTTTGAATAATTGTTATGTAAATCACAGAGGATAAAATATTTTAAAAAACTTGTTAACAATCGCATAACAAATAAAAACTGTGGAAAGGATCAAATATGTTTTCAAAAAAATGGAAGCCCCACGCTGAGTATGTATAATAGAAGAGAACGACGACCAGATAATAAAGTTTGTTACATGGTGGGTTTTCTTCGAATTATAACATGCCTTCTACGTTTCCTGATTGTCTTCGATGCTGAAATATATACAAAAAAATACGCTAACAATGTATAATACCAACATCTTAAAAGAATGGTAACTGAATTAATTATTCGTCCTGATATTTTCAGGACACAGCCCACCGTAAAAATTACCTCACAATACCATGCCGGTAATCCTATTCAGGGTGATGTAAGCAAAAATTAAATACCACAAGATATGCGTTGATTTCCTGAACCATAAAAAACACTCATTGAGGCTACTAGTGGATCCAAAAGAGACAGTCATATTTTAGATATTTGAAAAATATGATACTGCGAGTTAGATTCGTCTAGATACACTGACTGTAAGCTCGATTCTTAAAGAATGAAACAGCTAAGTGATATTTGTATTAATTATAAAACAAACCAGCTGACGTTATATAGAAAACACAAAGTAAAAATATCTAAATGGATTAACCCAACGATCAATACAAGAGAATATACATGATCAGTCAGTTTGCCAGCTATTGCTTTTTTCTTTCTTTGTATTCCTCTCGAATTTTCATTGTTTTGTGTGGCGCATATATATTGGCGCTCTCTTGTACCAATATTCATGTGTCCAAATAAATAAATAAACATACATAGAACTCGTGTGATGAAAATGGGAGTGTAGAAGGGAGCAAGCATCACCTCGTAAGTATACCCAGGAGAAATAAGCCTGAATCCCATAACCAATACTCGTGAGTTTAAACATTTACCTGGTTTCGATTCATTAAATGCATTAACAAACCAACAAATCAGAAAAAAGTAATATAATTGTAATGAGCTGTGTAAACCAGCATTATTATTATCGAAGCAAAAATATATTTTACCATGCACAAATAATAAACACCGCCTTTACTCTAACTCACTGATCGTCCGGAATGTCTAGGTCTATTATGATTAGATACTGCACTGTAATGATCGGTTTGTAATTGTTTTCGATGTTTAGAACTGGATTTGTATTGATTATGATCAGCTTTATCTTCAGTGAGCGTTACAGTTTGTTCATCATCATTCTCTTCTGAATGATATTGTTGTTTCGTCTTAAAATGAGGAGAATTCAAAGGGCGCAGTTGATCAGATCGTTTCAATCTATCTACTTCCTGATTATGGTGATTATTAGGAAGCATTACACCTCCGAATACTGGCACACCACCTACAGGAGGCTTATGACTAGATGACAAATTGCTTATTCTCGTATTCGGATCATAAGTGTAATTATCTTTTTGTTGGACAGTATTCGTTGATGACTCATCATGATGCTTCTTACGACGATGTGTTTTAGTATTTGCATATATAGGAGAATTCGGTCTACGCTCATTTATGGAATTTGATATCTCAGAAGGATGTCTACCTTTACGATCGTTTTGACCAGGCTGAATAATAGGATAATCACTTGATTGAGATCCACCTGTAACAGACAACATTTCGTCTGGTTTACCTTTTCCAGGGTGTCGATAATTTACGTAATCATTATAAGGAGCTTCATTATCATAACTTCCGTTTACAGACCCATATGATAAAATATTTGAAACACCATCACTATATTGTTTGCTCATTTGAGACTGTACATCTTGTACTTCAGACACAACAGACTCAGAATATGGATGATGTCGTGGAACAGTTCCGTATAATTGCGTTGCATTACTATTCCCATTTACCTAAAATGATACGCAACAGATATATACATAATGCTTAAGCATAAAAAACTGGTATGTAAAAGACAATTGCACTGTAACAAACTATTTGTTGGCTGTAGGTTTTGTAGATTGAATCAGAAAATTTCGCAAGAAATCTGGGAGTTGAAAGTATACAACACCAATATCTGTAATAATCAATCAAATGTAGGGATTAAATAGAGACAAAACCGGAGAATACATACTTACTCAAACGAGTAATCTTAGTAAAATTAGTTTCATAATACAATGTATCTTTCGGTGGAAATAGGTTACATAAGAAAAAAAGTTACGTTAATAAAATATGGCAAAGGCTTCCAACAAATGCTATTTAGAAACCAAGCAATTCACACAGATACACAAATTCTCATACGCGCAATCAATAAATCGACTACGGGAAAAAGGTAAACAACATGGAATGAAGAATAGAAATAAATTTAAATTTACCAATTTTCTTGAAGTAGATTATTCTAAACCATCTAAATGAGAACAGTCATAAAACTCCAAAAGACAAGTTGCCTAATTTTCTATCATCCATATATTTTCATTAAATAATGCAACTCAGTTACCAAGTTGCCAGGTTTATGTGTACTGATTTTTGAGCCATTAACCTACTTTCTACTGACGAATATATAACACTCGCATTGCAACTAACAATTTTAACTGCTAAAAAGACACTATAATAGTAAGTGGTAGTATCTGTGTAACGTGATAAATGGTTAATACTTACTTCAATGCTCAACGGTGATGATCCAATGTAGTGTCACCATCATCATCAGATGATTTGACGTGTATTAGTTTCTCAATGTTTATAGTTAATAAACACGATTTATTAACACTGATGAGTAAGAGATTAATTTAGTTTACCCTCTGTTATTTTAGTATTACATCAAGGGACATAGTTACTGAGTTGTATAGACAATAAGTGGTATCTATGAAAAAATCACACGATACCAGCTTCTTAACTATCATAGTGCCTTAAAAAAATATAATCCAGACTGAATAAGACCAATCAAAGAACATATTTTCAATTTACAAAGTAATTAGCAAACGCTGTAGTAAACTGGTTTATTGAACTGTTGAATAATATCAATTAGGAAAACATACACAGAAATCTGAATGTCAAAGTAAACGCTTAATTAATAGCATCATTAGACCTTTTTCTTATGACAATATTCAAGATTTAATACCTAGTTCTATTCCCATATGAAAATAATATAGATGACCACGATTATTTACGCAAATCAATCTAATTTATATGTATAACACTGATTATTTCCTGCATGAAATGAGAAACGCTTAAAAATATTTAGGTTTTTAAAAATATTTAAAATTTTTTGAGATAGTGAATAAAAACCAATTACCGTAACAAAAGACTACAACACCTAAGGACAAACATCAATTCTTTTCAACATATAAAAAACGACAAAGCAATATAGATAATTGTATTAGAGGCAGTAATGAAAAACGATTCATTGAATTTCTACAAAGTTGTCTATTAATTTGTATGATTAAGGTAACTATACAATTACTCTAATGCGACGTAATTCTTTTTACTATCGTCTGGAAGTCGATAAATATTCAAATTACTAGAGATCTTATTTGTTCTTAATGATATAACAAGGCAAGAATTAAGCTTGATTGTCAGGTATTAATTCCGTTGGAGAGTGAAAAACTTATAATTCTCACATCTTCCAATCATTAATTTGTCAAATGACTTGTAATCAATGTCTCTTCTTGTGTTCATGTATATAAATAAGCTGTCCTGTCTTCCGATATTAGTTTAATTGACGGCTTACATCAATAACTCAGTCTCATGAACAGTTATAACTCGACTAAATTGTATCACTGCATAATATCAATCGACCAGTGAATTCTCTTTATTCATTTAACAGTCTCCAAACGTCTTTTCATTACAGTTGGTCACACAAAATACGTCCGTAAACCCAATGATCAAGCAGATATCCTTATGCCCTGGTGCATGCTATATATTTTGTTTTTCTCAACAGTCCAAACCAAATGAGGTGTTGGAGAAATTAAGCGTATAGATAAGTAAGTGAATAAAAACAAGTGGTTAAATTACTAAGTCACAATTTGATTATAAGGTTATCATTAAAAAATTTGAAAGTTTATTTCAATCTGAAACCTTTCGTGTCACGGATTGGCATCAATTACAGAGCTGTTGAACTGTTGCTACAATTTCAACAGTAAGCACCTAGGACTCTGTGTAAGATTGAAGCCAGGACTTTGAGATCTCAACATGAGTACAATTCCATTAAGTCGCTGAGACAATCGACCGGTTCACATTCTCAAATTGAATCTATTAGACGCACAGCGTAGTCATTATTCACTGTAATTGGAGAGTAACTGATTATTTGGTGATATGATTGAACTCCATCAGACAGAATTTCTACAGAGATTTCGTGAATCTGTTTTGAAATTATTCACAAATTAGCACATGATTATGAACTAAGCGTGTTATTTTATAGTACTGAATTGCTAATTGTCATTTGACAAAAAAAAAGTAGAATAAGCAAAAGGAACTTACTCCACTACCCATTTGAACAGAACCAAATCTTCGTAATCCTTGTAACTGATCATTATTTTGAATTTTGCCTACAGTCATATCACGTGGATGTGCTCTGTTTAATGTATGCATATTCATAGCTGAAATTAATGATTAGAACTAAAGTTTCTAACTGTAGAACATTAAAAAAAATATTGAACAACAAAACTATTTTATCGGAAATTTATAATAAATATAGAGTATCAAAAATGGTAATATAGTGAGAATAACAAAACACAGAAATAATTCAGTGATAATCAACTCGTATTTTTGTAAAAGGAACGAAAAGATTGATGATTAAATGAGATTCGAATTTTGAAAAATACATACACTGCTAATTTATTCAATGTTGTTTTAGCACTTGTGATGATGGTTGTTCATATCCTTATTAATAATTACCTATCGGAAAATGTATTACCATTGAATCAATCAGTAAATGATCTCATTATGCTCAATATTACTTTTTTTACTTCATTCAGTATAGTCTTTTCTTTCGAACTATTTTAAATAAGGGTGGGGGTGTGATTAAGTAGTGAAGACGTTCAACTTTCAGCCTTTAGTGAGTCGCAGGTTCGAATTCCGTTCTACATACTACAATTTAGACACTCACGATTTTCAGTCAGGCTTTTTGGCTCACTCGGTAAACCAGTGGAAACAGAAATTCCAGATTAGATATTTTATATCTCATTATCATCCTTGAAAACGTAAATAGAAACCAACCAATAAAGGCCTTCTAAATTGGCATTTCAATTTTTGGAAAAATCGCATACAATAAAACGGAATAACAGTTAACTCTGCTAGTTGATTAAAGAATTATACTAGATAGATAATTTTATTATGACAAACGCGTCTTCAATTCGATACATTACGTAATTTCAGTAGTCAGTTAGTATGCCATAAATAACCATAACGCCAAGTATTGTATGTGAAGAAACGAATTGTCATTATCTTTAACAAAGCAACATTGTACTCCTAAATTATGTTATTTCATGTGATAATGAGAAAAATATTTTAGAAGTCACATGATTGTATTGTATATGACGATAAGTAAACAAATGAATGAGTTTACTTTTTATTTATTTATTTACTTATATGAAACAGAAACCATTTGATACAATGAAGTACTTAAAACCAATGCCCCATATGAAACGAGACAGCATTCTTGTTAATACATCAAAAGAAAGCAAAAACCGGTAACAAAATCATCAGTGACAAGTGAAATATAACACTGCATACTCTCCAAATTATACAACTTATTATTGCAGTTACCCTAATCCATAGCTTTTTTATTTCTTAGTTTAAATAAACAGCGCTTATAATAAGATCGGGATACAAGAGAACCCCATACTACATTAATACATCGTTAATTTGACATGGCAAAACCAAGAATTTCCTTTTGAAAACGAAAACACAACTTCATAATCACACACAGACTGGTGGGTTTCACTTTAAACCATGTTTTCCGCCTAGCCCAGCCAGTTAAGTCCAGAACACTAGTCTCAGCCTCTGCAATATAAATCCTTATATTTCAAAAATACTGAGTATATATACCAATCAAACAGACCACAACGTAGCATAAAATAGAAAATAACATTTGTACAAAATCTGGACAAATGTGGCTGTGAATGTGGGAGGCAGTTACTAATAGACAGGGCATAGTTCAAGAATGGTTAAATGTATAATAATGGTTCATAGGTCAAAATAAATTTTATAATAAGAGGAATATGAATAGTTTAGTTACTTAATAATTATACGGTAAAAATATACGTTTAGTATTGATCCATAAAAAAATCCCAAAGTTACCATTCATTATATTTATCGGGACCTAATATACGGCTAGTTAGATTGGTGATGTGATGGCCACTGTTGCTATGCACGACTGGATAAAACTATAATTCAGTGGTTGGAATTTAAGTTTTCGCCAGTAAAACACTGTTTCGCAATGACTGATTAAGCTAAAACTAACACATTTGTTAAGATCTCCTTATACGACTCAGCTACTCTTATTGCTCAGCATTCTTTGGACACTTCACTCGACTAGCCGTCAAATCAAAACATTCCTAGACAGGAATGAAGTTATATTTTGAATAAACTAAGTTAAATGGGAATAAAAATCACAATTAGAACGTTAATATACTTGTAATTTTACACCGGAAAATTGTAGTCTTCTCAAATTAAACGTTAGCGCAGATTGCTAAAGAAACAACCAGTAAACGTGGCCCAACACAATCCTGGACGTAACATAGTTTAATTCAATCTACATCCCACTAACATTTAACGAAAATATATGGCCATCCACGATCGATTATATATATATATATATATATATGCAAAATGGTGATCTATATATTAGTTATTGGCTTGATACAGAAAGAAAACCGGTATAATTAACTCTAGTTAACCTAAAACGAAATAAAGTTATTCTCCAAAATGCAAATTCATCCTATTGTTTAATAAATCAATTTTGCACCTTAGAATAATAATCTTAAAGTACAAGTACTCAAAATTTTTAAGACTTAACTAATTTGCATCTTAATTTTTAATAAATCAGCTATAATAATCGATTAATGAGTAGATTTCTCTCGGAAAATCATTGAGTAATAAAGTTAACTAAAGTACAATAAATAACTGAAACTAAAATGTAAAATTTATTAATAAGGTCACAACTTATCGTAGCCATTTGCCTTTATCCACTAATGTCTACTTTTTTGCTTGTTTTTTTTTAAAAAAAGAACAGCTTCTCGCTAATTTGTGATAAGTATATATACATATATATACAAACTCAAGGTATCCTATGTGAATCGCATAGATATTGCCATAAGTATTTTGAACGGAGTTGGATGTTGGCTAGCAGTGAAATCCAGAAAATATGTCAATAAAAGATTAATCAGTTGCAGTCCTAAGCATTCAAATAACCGATAGAAAGAAATTAAGCTTTACTTAATTGCAAAAGCCAGTGGCTATCTGAATTCGGTAGCTAAGTGGATAGAACGTTGACGTTTGGAGCGAACGGTACTGCGTTCGAGTCCAGGATGAATATCAACTCTGAAATGCAGGTGTATCCGACTGATGAGTCCCAAGTAGGGCGAAACACGTTTCCCTCTAGCCACTATCCAACTCTGGTCAATACAATCTTAAGAGTTACCACGATCCCAGTGAGAAAGTCACTATCTCCATTTAGTGGATTAGTGGATAACGTATCGGTGTTTGAAGCGATTGGTCTAAACACCAACCTTGAGATGCACGTATATGTAACTAAAGCATCCGAAAAAGAACGAAACAGGTGTTCTTGACTCCACTAATAGATACGAATAACACTAAATACTTGTGTACATATCGTTTCTTGAAGTATTTGTTACCAATTAATTTTCGACATTATTTCTTATCATTTACTAATTGTTTAAAAATACTGTTGTAATTAAAAGTATCAATGTTTTCGGATTGTTTTGACAAAAAGGCAAAATACTAATTCTACTTACCTGCATTTAAACCAGTAGGCATACTTGCTGTACGTCGCTTCAACATTGAACGATTAAACCGTGGATGTGGCCTATCAATATTCGTTGTACGATATTGGAAGAATGTTCGTCCTGTATAACGAAATTGTGATTTACTTAAACTAGGTGTTGATAAAGGTCTTTTAGGTGCTGGCGTTTCTTTCAGTCGAAAAAATGCATGATGTTCGACGGCAGCTTTCCACAGTCGATTAGCTAAATGTGGATTTAACAAACGAAAGCCTACAATAGCTTCTACAGGTTCTGACTAAAATTGAACAAAAAAGGCAGTTGTTAGATAGGCAAGAAAATATGTCAATATTGTAAACGGGATTATCCACTATGTAAATTAAACTGTCATGATGATTGAGTATAAGTTGATACCTCAAATGTAACCAAATTATATCTAGTTTTGATTCAGAGAAAGCAAAGGTATATTTAAATTTGAAGAAGAAAAGACTAACGATTTAAGCGTAAAATGTTAACTAGGGCAATTATATCATATAAAGTACTTAAATATGGGACGATAAATTTATTCTAGTGATCAGTAAACAGTTATAAAACTCCTACTAAGCTGAACTTTCAAACATTCAGTATAGAACGGATTGTTATATTATTAATAATTAAACTAATTCAAGGGTACTACGAAAAAATGCGATACCTTTTCGACAGAAAGTATATACTACACAGAAAAAAATCTCAATTTAATTCAATCATCAACAAAAATTAGTCATTGTGATAAAAAGACCAGTGTTTCTGAAACAGTCAGTTTCGTGAATACTCGAGCACACCTGTTTCTCATCTTTCAATTTGATTAATATGCACATGAAAACTAATGTCATACAACCTATAGATTTAAAGCCCGGAAATCGATCATGGAACATTTCATTCATACATGCATGAGCAAATATATACACACAAACAAACACTTGTAGAAAAGGTTAACATGATATTGGAAAAACCGAAAATATGATAAACTATTCGTACAACACGGTCACACAGTTGTTTTGCTCATTAGATGAACTGCATAAAAGATACTAAGACAAAGTGAAAAAATTGTTTGTTACGCACTATTTATCACTTAGAGTTGTAGCATACTTGCGTGTACGAGTAAGAAAACCAGTTTAATTTTCGTTGCTCTCTTTCTCACATACAGACACACATTTCTATACATTTATTCACAAAATGACTTATAAGTCTAGCCACAATAAATCAATTCAATGTGTAGTGAATTGTAGTTTAGCGTAAACTTTGATAATTTAATTCAGTTTACTAGTTGACTTTTCCTTGAGTAATTTCGATTATGACAGTTAGTTAGTTAGCAGGAAACAACAAATGCAAAAAATACGATTTTTGTGAATGACTGCCTTAATATGAACGTGACATCGATAAAAGAGAAACAGCATTGATAAGTTTACGGAATAAAGGATTTATTTTTTTTCACTAGCTATAATCTGTACTCATATAACGTATGAGCACAAAGATTTTCTTTACATTACAAAAATTTAAAAGTAGATGAAATAGGACTTCGCGATAAAATAATACAGATAACATGTTTCCGAAATTCTGTTGTTCAGTATATTCAACACATGATGTAGTTACTTAATCGTTTCTATTAAAAATCCTCTACAATAGTGTACCAGAGATATCAAAGATTAGTTTCATAGATGCATCTCACTTATAAGTTGATTTCACTACTAAATGAGTATACTGAATGAACATTATCAATTTAGTTAACTAAAACATATCTAAGACAAGAAAAAGTAGTCGAGAAAATAAGTAAAACTGTTGGCTTTGAGCAGACCGTCAATATATGAATTTCGTCTAAAAATAAAGTTAATCTATCCGATTGTTAGTATCCTGGTTTTTTGATCCAAGGAAAAGGATTTCGATATCCAGTGATTGATTAATGAAGAAGTCAAAGCATCGGAATCAGCTACAAATAAAGACTCAGTCGACGTTTTGGGGACAGTACTTTTACTAAATATATTAGTCATTACCATATTTACGTCAAGTTGAAGTCCATTGAAACTTTAATAACCTATCATATCACAACCGAAAAATACCAAATAATTCAACAATGCGAACACTAATTTAAACTACTGTAAATGATCATTTTCAAATGAATTCTTTGCAGAATTTACAAGTCCTTTGAGAAGAATTATTATGCTGATGAGTCTCATATTAAAAAGAATTGTTTGATACTCCTTGGTCATCCATATTTCTTCCGATAAAGTAAGTCCTTGACGAAAACCATCTTCACAGTTAGGAAATGTCAATAAAGACAATAATTTAAATTGTTACTAACGATCTATAAAATACTTCATACTTTTTCAAATAACTCAGGATGACGTATTATCTTGTTTAAGAGTTTAAGCTAACAATAACTTGTGGGTGAAAAACTACTTGAACACATTATACTGTTAAAATATTTTTCAAGAGGTTAATAGGGTAGAGTAGAGCTGGGTGGATAACAAGTTAAGAAAATTTATAAAATTTCATAGAAAATCTAACTAAAAAAATAAAACAATGATGTTAAACACGGGGATTTTATATAAATGCGTTACAATGGATACCAGTAAAATGAAGAAATTGTTGTGAAAAAAATACTTAAGGCCATTTACAGTTAGGAAAATATTTTGGTCAACAAGGCAAAAGTCACGATGCATACACGCACACAGATACTAAGGATGCGAATAAGAAAAGTGGACAATAAAATTATTAATAGCTACGTCTGGAATGGTTTCGTGACAAATAGTTACGGATTAACTGAGCAGCTAGTCCTGTGATATGAGAATCGTGATAAAAGCAATATGTTGGCAAAAGTCAACGAGGAGTATCAATACAACTGCAAAATATATGACCCAGTAGTTAATTATGTTTAATAAGCTGTAGTATTTGCTTTCACATTTATTTTCAGCACGATTCTCTTTTCTAAAACTAGAATACTAACTCCATTAAAAATTATAAACAACTGAAAAGTGTGGTGATGGAAAATATTAGTGAAACAAGTTTAGATCAAGTTATTTTGGTTTTGTAGCATATGCACGGAAAAAAATGCCTCAAAATGTTATTGACGACCTTAAGATGCAATCATATATGTTGTGAAAAAAAACAATGTAAACTGAGTTGTATAGAAAAATAGTACTCTTGCAGGACAAGCAACTGGGCTGAAAGAATATTTATTTAGTGAAATTACGTAATGTTTATGCAATATGTACAACTAATCTCCAATCACCTCTTTTCATCCCGTTGTGTTCTGCAATCCAGGTTGGATCTAGACTGTCTTCTCTTGCTTCCTTCCTGGTGTCCAACGTATTCAGTATACTCTATGCTTTTTGACCTCCTGCGACTCGTCTCTCCGGCTATCGACAGTAGCAACTTCCACGAGACGATTCATTACATACCACTTATAAGTAATCCTGTGAGTAGCATCCATTACACTAACTGGCTAAAGTTAAACACGTTACTGACGCATAATATTGTAATTTTCCAAAGTAAAGTAGCTAAAAGTTTTATAAAATAGATGGATTGTCGTTCGGTGGATAACTTCTTGGATGTTTGAAGCGAAAAGTACTAAGTACAAGTCCTTAGGTGAAGCAAGTACATTCAAATGACGAGTTGCAAAAAAAAGAAACGCGCACCCTGAATTTCAACGCCGGGCACAACCCATCTATTCAATAGAACTTGTAACAATACGGCTATATCGAAGCAACCATCACAGGATTCACACAACCCTATTAAAACTGATCAAAATTCAGTCAAGATTATAAACAATGGGATAATGGAAGCCCTCACAAATTAAATTAAGCAGTTCTGATACCAAAAATTTATGGTAGCTATTCACATGATGTGCATTTTATTCAATGTGTACATAAGAACAAGTATTTAAAGTAAACCAAATAACTTACATAATCAGGTCGAATTTTTAAATAGAAATTATTTTTTTTATACGATATACGTAGAACTTTAGGCCATGCAAATCGACCAATACGCAGTCGGTCACGATAAATAACTACACCATGAAAACCAACACCAATATAAATATCGACATTTTCCGTATCTTTAGCTGGGTGTAAATCAACACCGTATAGTTCCAACCGTTTAGCAGTCTCTAAATATTTAATATCAGCTTCATTCGGTTTCATACCACTGGAATAAAGCAAAAAGTGTGTCATTAGTAGTGTGTTCGTATATATATAATATACTAGCACTAAATGTACTAAATTGAGTATATTCAACGAGTCCTGAAAATCTAATTGTAATAGCTTTATTTACATGCATGAAATGAATCAAGTATATGTTTATGAGTAAATATTATCCACCAAAAACTATTAGATATAATATTAAAGTGAGTTCTACTCAGCATTAAAAACAATAGACCATTGAAGTGCGGTTAACTTTTATTCAGGGTTCCTTATCCACGAATACAGGATCCAACTTGAAAACTTCAGGCCGTATGATAAGTACGCTAAGTAATGTATAATAAATAGCATTTTATTTATTTATGTGAACATATAAACATTGGTGCAAGGGGACACCAAATACATATGCGCCACACAATAATAATGAGGTTGTGAAGAGATAGAAAATTTGAAGTTGAAAATTCCCATTTCGACATTTGGTAAATAAAGAAGGAACGAATTGAGCGAAGAAATTTCTTTTCAATTAGTTTTTCATCATGGCTCTACAATAATATATATATATATATATGATCTACAATAATGATATCATACTCATCGAGTGGATACGTTACGAAACAATTGTATAATGACATTTAAATTAGCATTGAGTAATTGGAAGAAAGAGGATTATTAATATTCAAAGTAATTATTAAATCAAGAAGTTGCTACGTTGCGCAATATATATATATATATATATATATATATATATATATATATATATATATATAGGGGTGGTTGCAGAAGATAGCATTTAATCTGGCTGCATTAAATGTTTTTTGTACAGCTCTTCTTAGTTTCTGAGTCACGATTTTTTCAGTGGTGTCATCTATGAATTGTAATTTTATGAAAAGTACTTTCTTAGGGACGGTAGGTATCTTTGCCCTTGTTTTCTTCTCCATCATGTGCTTGCTTGGTTACATAGTATGAGTGGGTACCCTATGAAATTCATCGACAATCACAGGTAGGACAGTCTGATCGATGTTGTCGAGGCAACAAATCAGTTGAACAGCTCTTCGAAAAACTCTGCCCATCGTCCAAGACGTCGGTAGATGTTAGTGATTGGTATCCCATCATCTTCACATATTGTTTCACTCACACCAGACGTCTTGCTGCCAGTGACTTGGATGAGTTCAAAGAGCTCCTGGCAGCTACCAGATGCAGCGGCTGCATCTAACTCGCCTGCACGCTCCAACTACCAGACTTTTCGGTCCTTACACAAGTTTCGCATAATTTCATTACGTAAACGTCTTCGTTTATGGTCAAACTCGCGGTCGCCCGGAGACCGACGGGCTTCAATGAGTTGTAAGGAGCCTGAAGAAATCCAGTGCTTATAAGCGGGACGTTTCACGAAGCTGCAAGCGACTTAACTTGCACTCAACTGAGGCAAACGCTCATCTATACTTTTCGGTGGGCTGACAGCTAGCCTTGAACTAGCTCGGTTTAATATTTAGTCGCAAGAGAAGCTGCAACTAAGTTTCTGACATCGATCCATTTACGACGATGAACTTGCTGACCACTGAGACGTGAGGTAAGATTAGCGCAAACAAAGGCACGACCAGAGTCTAGATAGGCACTCCCAAAGGAGCATCAATCTTGAACACAACCACGCCAGCGGTAGCTGGTCGCGATGTTATCAATGAGTTCAAACTTGAGATGCAGAGAGGCGACGCCAGGGAGCATGTCGGCGATGACTGTGCCAGAAACGGGTTGCAGCCTGCGCACAGATGCAGTAGAAGGTCAATACCTGACCTACGACTAACAGGTCCCCATCGATCACCTAAACGACTCTCTTCTGGGACTAGACACCCAACCTGAGCATTCGAATTGCCAGCTTGTACTACAATATCGGTCGGAATCACTTTCTGTAGAAGAACAGTTAACTGGTGATAAAACTCATCCTTGATCGCATTCGGACCGCAACCTGTCGGAGTGTAGGTGATGACGAAAAGCCATCGTTCCTCACACCGATTTCTTCTTACTTTGATGAAGCTTTCTAACCTAACAGCACATAACCGACTGTTAGTGGAGATCCAATCGATCAATGTTGTCTCGGCTCTACTGCTTAGTGCGACACCAACGCCAGAAAAACCAGACGAAGATGCCACAAAGTTCCCGGATTAACACACACAAAACAAGCTATTCGAAAAGACAGATGAAGAGTGAATTTGTAGTACTCCACTAGTCTTGAATACGGGTCTCCGATAGACAACAGATATCGATATTAGGACATTCTAAAGATATAGCCGACACTATCTATTGTCTGATCTGCATCAGTGTGAGAACGTTGAAGGCAGTTTAAATGGTATACGTGATTTTAAAAGACTGATTCAATATTCGTAGTAAGTGGTAGCATTCAACTTCCGACCAATCAGTGAATTGAGGTGGTTTGGATAAGACAGAGTTTCCACTAAACGCGAGCTGAAAAATAAAATACTTAAAATGAGAATAAAGGGGAATACCTAAGTGACGTAATATGGAAGAAATAAAAATGAATGTTATCATATGATTGTGAATAAGATTTATCTGAGTGAGAGTTGAAGCAAGGATAATTTTCCCAGTAGTGATTATCATTCATTTTTGTGAAGGCTGTGATATTCCCCGAGTGTTAAAACCGAAGCATTATTCAGATTTGTTTATTAAGCACAGAGTTAAGCATCCAATCACGTCTCTCGAGCATGACGCTTACTAGTACAATCTGAAAATGAAGTGGATTCGAGTCGGAGAAGAGCAAACTAAACAGTCAAAAGTCAAATGCTCTATTCGTTTATTCAGTTGCCAGAAGGATATGTTACCATCCCTAAGGCACTGAACATTTATCATTATCAACTAAAGAAGACTAAATACAATTCAGAGTATACAACTCAATATGTAATAAAATAGTTAAGGTAAAAAATTTGTCGATAATAACCTAATAATCATATAAATATTTGAATGCGGGTTGTTTAATTAAAATGACAATGTAGAAACATGATGGTTTACATTAAGCTTTACTTAATAAAATATTTCAGTAAATGTTAATGAAAATAATAAACTCAAGAACATGAGAAATAATAATAAAAGATAAAACGACTTTTATCATAACCTTAGATTTAAACTTTACTATAGAAGAAATACAAAGTGAAGACTATGCTAAGAAATGATCTTGAAAAAGGAATGCTTATAAATTCGAAATATATAGCAAATTATAATACAAATAATTGGAATACATTAAATAGTGGCTGACAATTGAAACAATGATGCTGTTTTGGGAACATGCAAGCTTTCAGTCAGTTACGATCAACGTAGGATCCGACACAACTGTACATCGGATGCAGTTGATACATAAAAACTGCAAGCAAAAATATCAATCAATAAAATTGATGAAAGCTATGAATTAAGTGGAAACAAAAATCAATGCTCCAGCTTGAAGTTTCTAATTGAGATCACCGTTACTTGTAGTACTTAGACTGGAAACAAGAAATCTTTGATCATTAAATTTCGGCGTTTAGTTGTGCAACCTAAGTAGTTTGAAAATAAACCAAGTCTCCTCTAGGTACAGAGACAGTTTTAATCAAATCCAATCACTTAAATGTCAAAATAAGGAACACCTTCACTGGCAAACTAAACTTTTTGAAACGTTATAGTTCCCGCGGTTGATAACCAAGCCGAATAGCTCCAAAGACAAGCAGAAGATTGAAAATAATGTTACTCACGTCCCAACAGGATCATATAACGATAAATAATCATGTATACTAGTCATGGGTTCCAAGATATTATATGGATAAAAGTAGCCACTTCTTATACAAAATAAACTGTTGGAATGATCATTTTAAACACTGTATGTTAGTAAAATTGTAGTAACGTAAACACCTAAAGGTTTCTCCACTATATTCCCTTGGTCACCATTTACATACATAAACACTTAAACCCAAACAAATTAAAATGAACCAGTATTATTTGTTGAGACAATTTAGTTTAACGGCAAGAAATTAAGACAAGTTCATTTAAGGTAAGGAATAATACGAATGCACTAACAGCTGAATGACAGCAGTGTTCAGTTTAAATAGCTCAAAACCTCGGGCAACAGCCCAGCATAGTCATCATCATCACCAGATGACTGAGTGATTTAGATTATGAATACTTTTCATGACCCAAGAAATCAAATATGAATTCACATATTTTTATAGACAAAAAAAACTACTCACGTATGGGTTTTATGCAATTCCACAATTTTTTTCAACAATTGGGGTGTAGGTGATGGTACAAATTCAAATTCATTTAAATAATCTAACCCAATATGTTTGTCCGGATCAAAATCGCCTAATTCTGCCTGTACCATAAATGAACCTAATAATGCTTGTGTAACCCACGAACAAGGAAGTTTCCCAGTGTAAATATCTTGTCGAATTTGTAAAGTAAGCTGATAGCGTGTCAACTCTTCTTGCAACAAGGATGGCTCAGGAGGGTAAAATTTAACTTGAAAATAAAATAACCGTTGCTCGTTATCTAATGAAAAAAAGTTGCAAAAAATATTAGGATGTATACATGTGGATATTAAACTACAAAATAAATACAGTATCCCATTAATTAAATAAATCATACAGTACGTTTGGTCCTTTATTCGCTGAATGATAATTAAGCCATATAACCGTGATATTACATGACATTTCAATGGAAACAACTCAATCTAAAGGGAAAATATTACCTTTTCATCACATAAAATACAATCGTACTACTAAATAGCAGTAATTAAACATTTCTAAATTAGTTCCTATGAGCCCCTGATAACCTCGGTTAGAAAATGAGTAAAATGGTCGTCCTTTGCTGATACAAAACGTATCACGTGGCGTGAGCCAAACGAATGCTTTCCAAAAATCATAAAATGTGAAAGTTTTATTTGTAGCTTGCTTACTTAATTACGCCTGTTATCCCTAGTGGAGAAGCATAGCTCGCCCAACAGGATTCTCTAACCAACTCTGTTCTGGGCAATCCTTACCAGTAGTTTTGACTTGCTATCCATACCTTTGATACCTGCCTCCAATGTTCGACGCAATGCGCCCCTCGGTCTTCCTCTTTTTTTGGTGATCCCACGTTAAGCGCTTACCTCGTGGTGCAATCCGGTGATTTCCGCAATGTTTGTCTTATGCACCTACAACATCTTTTCCTAATTTCCTCTTCATTTGGAAGCTAGTTTGTTCTCTCCCATAGTAGGCTGTTGCTAATGGTATCCGGTCAACAGACGTTGAGTATCTTGAGCGAACAATCGTTTATCAATACTTGTAAGTCTTTATGATGGTTGTAGTAGTTCTCCAAGTTCCAACTCCGTACAGTAGAACTGTTTTGACGCTCGTATTGCAAATTCTGACTTTGATATTGGTTGACAGTTATTTTGAGTTCTACATGTTCTTCAACTGTAGGAATGCTGCCGTTGCTTCGCTTGGCGGCGGCAATAGGTAATAGCAGACAATTTTTCAGACTTGTTAAGGAAACCGGTATTAGGAACCCGACCGTTAGCAAAACAGTCTCAGAGAAAGATGGACATATCATTCATTCTTAATCCAGGAGATTGGATCGATGGGCAAAACACTTTGGGGACCAGTTCAACTGGCCTTCAGCCACACTTCGGTTTCCCACGATCTCTAGTCAACCTGAATGGCAAGTTAATGTAGGTCCTCCGTCCCTTTACGAAGTTGAAAAAGCCATAGGAAATCTGAAACGAGAGAGAGCAGCAGGCCCTGACAGGTTTACTCCTGAGATTTTTAAGGATGGTGGTCCAGTATTAGCAATGAGATTAACCGAGGTCTTAGGTAGAATTTGGGAACTGGACGTAATCCCATCTAACTGGTCTCAATCACTGATTGTGCCAGTCTATAAGAAAAGACAAAAGTCCTCTTGTGACAATCACAGAGGAATCAGTTTGACTGATATAGTGTCTAAAATATTAGCTTCAATAATACTTCGACGCCTAACCAAAGCTTCTGAAGAACAGACTAGAGAAAATCAGGCTGGTTTTCGACCTGGACGTGGTTGTATAGACCACATATTCACACTACGTCAGGTTCTAGAACACAGACACTCGTCCAGACGCCCCACAATGATAGTATTTCTCGACCTTAAGGCGGCATTCGACTCTGTTGATCGTGAGGTTCTATGGCGGTGTTTGTCACTGAAAGGAGTACCAAAGAAGTACATTAACCTTGTAAAGACTCTCTACTCCAACACAACTGGTAGAGTGAGGGCTTATGGCGAACTGTCATTAGAAGTGATTACTTCAAGTGATGTTCGTCAGGGCTGTCCACTCTCCCCGTTCTTGTTCAACTTTGTCGTTGAAGTACTATAAGAGATAACACTTTCCTCGTCTAGATTTCCGGGAGTTGAACTTCTACCGGGAGGTTCACTTGTTGAGCCGGAATATGCCGATGACATAGTTCCATTTGATGAAGACGCTGACAAAATGCAGAGTTTTCTGACCACTCTAAGCAACAATGCAAGCGTGTTCGGGATGTGATTCTCTCCCTCGAAATGCAAAATGTTACTTCAGGATTGGGTTGCCTCGACACCTAAACTAATGATAGGGAGTGAAGTAGTTGAGTGTGTCGACCGCTTCACTTATATTGGGAGTCTCATCAGCCCTTGTGGTCTGGTGTGTGACGAAATCTCAGCACGGATACAAAAGGCGCGACTAGCTTTTACCAACTTGCGTCATTTATGGCGTAAGCGAGATATCCGTCTATCAACCAAAGGACATGTTTACTGCGCAGCAGTTCGTCCCGTCCTACTCTATGGCAGTGAAACATGGCCGGTAAGAGTAGAGGATATTCGTAGGTTACTAGTATTCGATCATAGGTGTCTTCGAAATATTGCTCGTATATCATGGGACCATCGAGTAAGTAACGCAGTTGTTAGGAAACGGGTACTAGGTAAGGATGGCAAATCGATTGATGAATTAGTGAAACTTCATCAGTTGAGATGGCTGGGACACGTGTTACGTATGCCCAACCGCCGACTGCCTCGATGTGCGATGTTCAATGGTATAGGAGTAGGTTGGAAGAAAGCTAGAGGCGGCCAAAACAAAACATGGCACAAGTCCATGAAGTCACTGACAAGTGGACTGAGCCATGTTGGTAGGTGTAGACTACCTGGTTGGGGACCACGAGATGATAGCAACCGATGGTTAGAGACCCTGAATGACATGACTCCAAATCGTTTGCAATGGCGCAGGTGCATCCACTCTTTGTGTTCTCCCAAATTCCAATCTTCTGGATTCTTCATGTCCCTTTTTTCCTCTTTCCAAATTTATTTCACTGGATTATACTCTTTAAATAACATCTCCAAACCCTAATCTTTCCGATTACTGCTTATACTCTTGCTACCTCTACCACTACGGGATTTGAATCGACCACTGCATCTGTGTGCTAATGTGGTGTGGCAACTCGAACTGATGTACGTACGTACGAAGTTCTACGTTGTTACTGACTGACTGACTGACGTTGCTTCGCTAGTCCTTTCCCTTAGGTCTGCATCAGATTCACAACGTTCATCGACGATGCTGATCACGTACGTGAAAGTTCCCACCTCTTGCAGAGTTTCTCCATCAAGTGTGATTAAATTAGTGTTCTCTACGTTGTATTTGAGGATCTTGCTTTTTCCCTTGTGTATGTTGAAGCCTACTGCTGAAGAGGCTACTGCTACACTGGCTGTGTATTGGATAGAAGAGCCAGGTCATTTGCGAAGCCCAAATCGTCTAGTTGCATCCAAGCTGCCGATTGTATTCCGTGCTTCCCTTGAGATGTGGAGGTCTTCATAATCCAATCAACCATCAAAAGGAAGAGAGTAAGTAGCTTTGTCGAACTCGGTTCTTACTGGGAATGCGTCTATCGACTGTCCTCCATGCACGACTCTGCAGTGTGGTTCGTCGTATGAAGTCCGTATGATATTGACTATCTCAGGTACACCATTATGTCGAAGAAGGTTCCACAAGGTTCTTCTATCCACACTGTCAAGCACCTCATAGTCAAGGAAATTGATGTATAGTGACGAATTCCATACAATTGATGTTCAACGACGATCCGTAGTGTCGCGATTCAATCTGTACACGGCCGATCCTTACGTAACCTGATCTGTTGATATTGGAGTTGAGCGTCTACTGAATCTTTCATCAGGTTCAGGAACACTATGTTGAAAACTTAACCTGATACCGATAGTAGTGTGGTGTGTGCTACTATTGTCAACAGATATAAGTAGTATGCCATCAATCGAAAGTGAAATGCATGGACCAGAAGATCAAAGAAAAGAGAACGAGAACAAAGAATGATTGGTGTGGAAACGAAAGAAAAATGAAGTCTGAGACGATTAATTGACATTTTGCAAATGAAGTATTTACAGTATGGTCCTCAGATTTTACTAAGATGTTCTGTAATTTTGTGTTCAAATACATTCGGTTGTCCCCGCATATGTTCTCATTCACTACAGTAGTGTGGTGCCTCTGTAATTTTCACATTTCCTTTCCTTTCTTTGGTATCTTGATAGGTTATCCTTTTCTCCAGTCTGTCGGCACTTGTTCCTCCTCCTAAATCTTCCTGAACAGAACGTGGAGCATGTTCGCAATTGCTTCCATGTCTGACTTCAGTGCTTTAGCTGGTATATTGTCAGGACCTGCTGTTTCCCCACACTTGATTTGTCTGGTAACCATCGTGATTTCTTCGATCGTTGGTGGAGTGATATGTATGGGAAGGTTTATAGGTGCCGATGGATTCAGTGGAACTGGCTTATTCAATAGTTCCTCAAAGTGCTTTACCCATGTTTCACTTTGTTCCTGAATCTCAGTGATTGGCTTGCCTTCTTTGTTCTTGACTGGTCTCTGGCTTACTATATTTCCCTGATAGTTTTTTCGTAGTGTCATATAGTTGTTTCATATTTCCTTCTGCAGCTTTATCCGCTGTCGTTGCTAGGTCTTCTGTGCATTTCTGCTTGTCAGCTCTAATATTGCTCTCCACTTTCATGTTTGATTGTGCTTATGCGTTGAATTTCTCTGCTCTTGTTTGGCTGTTGTCAACTGATGTCTTCCTGTTCTTCCTTTCTTGAATATTGTCCAGGATTTCAATGGAGATCCATTTCTTGTGATGATGATTCTTTCGGTCCAGGACCTCCTGACATTTTAAAGTTGGTGCTTCTTCGGTCTTTTTCCAATTATCCTCCATAGTAGTTTCTTCTATGAGTCGATCTTGTAATACTTGAAACTTGTTGCTGAGAACTATCTTGAATTCGTTGAGTTTGTCAGCGTCTCGAAGAAAGTCTGCATTGAATCTTTGTAATGCTGTTTACCCAGTTGTCCAGTGCTTCTCTAGCTTCAGATTCATCAATTGGTGGTGATCTGAAGCTATGTCATCTCTCTTGGTTCTCACGTCTTCCATTGACCTTCTGAATTTTCTAGTGATGCAAATATGATCGATTTGATTCCCTGTAGTGTGTCCCGGTGATACCCATGTAGTTTTGTGTATGTGTTTGCTGGGGAATATAGTGCCATATATAACCACTTTGTTGAATGCATATAAAATTGTAAATCTGTCACCACCCTCGTTTCTTTCTGCTGGTCCATGTCGTCTCATGATATCTTCATAACCGATGTTGTCCATTCCGACATTGACGTTTAGGTCTCCCATAAGGATGGTCAGGTCCTTTCCTGAGCACTTGGCTATGATTGGTTGTAGCCTCTCATGAGACTAATTTTTATCGTCTTCATTGCCATCATTGATGGGTGCGTAACGTTGGATAACATTTAGTGTGACTTCCTCCCTCTTTGTTTTGAAGGATGCCTTGATGATTCTGAGTCTATGAGATTCCCAAAGGCTGTGATATTGCATCTTAACATTGTCGAAGCAATGGCTATACATCTGGAAAAACAAGGACTGTGTGTCCAAAAGAAAACGGTACAACCACTTTTTTTATCATGGTCTTAATGTCTCATAATTATCTTCCTTCTTCGTACTTTTTTTCCTTCAGTCATCTGCTTCCTCTTCTATCCTGCAGTCCTTCACGCGTTACAACAACCCCCAACTGATTTATTTCTGTTTCTAGGATCCTCATGATTACATTTCGTCTCAATTTTAATATTTTGTCTTACTATACTAAGCCATCCTTTCTTAATTATAATTTCCTATTTATCTTCACGACTGATATTTAAGTCCTTAACAATAAACTATTGTTAGTTTCCATGATAAAGAAAATAATGTTTTGATACCTTTGTTTATTCTACCTCACTGTTACCATGTTTAACAGAATTTTATTATTATTATTATTATTATTATTATTATTATTATTATTATTATTATTGTGATTCTTATCATCCCGAAAAACAAGTATATATATTTGCGATTGCACAGCTTTTAAAATGAATTCTCCGGAAAGAGAACTCTTTGCTGAACTACTCTTTCTGATTTTATGCCTCAATGGGTATATTCTGTTTACTCAGAAATAAATAAGCATAAAAGCAACGAACAATTGATCATTAAATAATGGACGACAGAGTAATATTATTTATTTATTTATTTTAACACATAGATATTGGTACAAGGAGGCTATATACGTGTGGCCATGTGAGAGCATTTCGAGTAATATTTGAGATTTAGGTAATTAGTTTGTACAAAGCCAATCTAAATAAGATCATCCAAAACTTAAAACTGCAACATACAGTTACTCATGAAGTGAAAAAGTTAAAAAATGCGGTGAAGGAAGTTTTCTCTTTGATGATAGTTTTTACTAAAGCTGTATCCATTAGAAAATACGATTTAAAGCTTTTCAAAATAGAATCAACTAGCAATATACAAATAAAAAGCGACCAATGTGTAAAAGATTGCTAGAATACAACTTACCTCGCAACTGTTTTCCAATCTTGGTTTGTAAATCCAGCCAAAACTGAAAAAAGGAGATATATACACCACTCTAGTTATTCATAATACTTCAAAGCATTTCGACGCAATAGTCATCAAATCAATTTCGTTTATCTAGTTTGAACAGTAATTATAGGTCTTATCAGTTTTCTAACAGACAAACCAGATTGGTAATGAAAAACAGACCTCGGATTTCAGTTAGAGATGATCGTGCCTACACAATTGAATGCAATATCGACATAATAACACTTAATATAGTAAAAATTTCAAGCTAATGAGTTTTCTATAACAAGAAATGAGTTAAAGAATTATGAAACAAAAGTATAGTTGCAGATATCTAGTGATATTACTACTGATACTAAAAACAAGATAAAAATGGTTTTAGTACAGCAAATCAAGGAATATTATTTGGCACTACAAACAAATCACCTAACCAAATAATTTACCGGGGGCGATTCGCGGGCTTGGCTGCTATAAGATACTAATATTGATTAATATTTGTTGTGAACACTTGAGGTCGTGTTTACAAAGATTGGTTATTTATTGATACAATGGTAACCAGAGTACGAAGATGAAATATAATTACTAAGAAACTTACCCATGTACGTATTTTGTTACTGACGAACGTCAGTCCAAAGTAGTCGGCTTCATAAAGATCTAAGTTCTGACACACCTGATCGAAAAGAACTTGACCAATATTATCACGACTCAACTGGAAAACAAGCTCCTCACCATCAAGCATAATAACGCAAACTGATGTAGAACTATCAGACGGCTTGGTAATTTGTGACACATGAGCTTTCGGCTTGCGTCGCCTAAAAGAAGCGAATAACTTTGATAATACGTTTTTCGTTGGCGAAACCTCAGGTAGATTTTGGTGAGGTACGAGTTCATGCTGACCTTGTCCGAATTCAGGATTCCAAAATCCCCGTCCACTCCCAACAAATGCATTGGAATGTCCATCATCTAGCAAGCGTTGTTCGTAACTCGAATAGGATTCAGAGTGTAGATTAGTGGGTAAACCCATGGAAGATTCTCGATGTTCCTCAGAACGACCATTAGAAATGGGAATGCTGCCTGAAAGAGGAGAAGGTGGTACTGAGCCATCATAACGAATAGAACCAGACACTCCACTTTCCTCATCTTGATGATATGGTACTTGATTTTGAGAAATTCGAGAACCTGTGCGACTTCTGTACTGATTCTCATTGTCACTGACATAACTATGAATACTTTCTTGATATTGATCGACAGAATATTTGTGTTCCATACCAGCCATATTCGACACATTTTCATGTCTCGGTGGTTTTTTCTTCGACCTATGTCGTTCTGCTTTTTCGTTTGGGTATGTCTTTTCTACACTATCCCTATAAACAACTCGACTTGAAGAGTAAGGTCTTTTGGTAGCATTAAAGTCAGCATAACCTTCAGTGGTCTCGGCGTCATGACAGCCGTTATCTTGGTTATCATATCTGTTGTCCGAAAAATGATTGAGGAAGCGACTAGCAGTTTGATCAGTAACCTCATAATCTCGACTCTTCTTTTTTCGATGGATTTTCTCTCCGCGCTCCCTTTTATGTCCCTGTACATCCTCCATTATAGTATTCTCGTTGGTGGCATATAAGTTTAAAAGCAGTCTGTCATGAAGAAAAAAAGTTACTTTATGAAGACATGTAGTTCGAAAATTCGCCAATAAAAAATGAACAACTTAACACAATTCGGGGAGACAGGAACCATGATATGAGCCAAGACATAAGTTGAATGAATCAGAAGTAACTACGGTTTTGGATAGGTCTAAACTGGCAAGGACAACTGTAAGTGATGCAACAGACAAGAATGATTTCTAATGATAAAATGATTTTGATAAATATATCTACGAATCAAAATCGGATTGAGTACTACCGTTAACTGGCATAATAGTCGGTATCATCCATCACATTGATTCAAAAAATTCATACTGGCTAGCTATATAAGAGCACTAGCATTTGATATAATTATGCTTTACGAGTAGCTCAACTTTTAACAGCCCGAAAGTTTATAAAAAATACCATCTGAAATTTGGTTCTCTTCCCTTACCCTAAGTGAACAAATCCAGTAAAAGGAGTACAAGAGTATGACCGAACGACCCATACATAGATACTTACTTTACAAGGATTGACATGATGCACTTCGGACCTACTTTAAAATGATAAAGTAACCAGTGCATTGAACTAAGCATGGTGGATATAAACTTTGGTTGAGTAATAAAAGCATATAAAGCAATGTTTAAACACTTGTCAGCACAAAAACCCTTAATCTATGGATGCCTGAAATGATGAGAAACAATACAATTGGATATTTCTCCTCATTACATTTTAACGATACGTGGACAACCAAAAGACTCCCTTGTAATACAGTGAAATCGGGTGTTAAAACATTTATTATCCTGACATAAATGGGCATGATCGCTAACAATCAACCTATGTCGAATTCGCTAGGACAACTAAGTTTGCTGTAAAAAAAATTATAACTGTTAAGGAACGACGGTACCGTGGCACATAAAAAGAGGGTTAACACTGGTCTGTCGACGAAATCATCGTTCTAGGTATCCATAGATGAACAGACATGATTATCAATACTGTATATATTACTGTCTATGAAAAATCGCACATCCAAGCTATAAAACTGAGTTCTCAACGATGGATCGTAATGATGCTTTTTTTATCTTAGCCATTTAAGAAGCTAATCTCTCATTGCAAATGGAGCGTCACACTTAACTGACTACGAATAAGAAGAAAATATACCACCTAATCGAACCCACTTAGAATGGTAAGCCCACACAAAAATTTAACCTAGTCATTAGTGCATTCCAACAACGACGGTCGATTTTCTCATAACAAACCGTTTGTGTTACGATTCTGTTATTCACCTCCATAAACTTGACCCATGACTTTAATTTGTGATGAAAAACAATATATATTTTACCTCATAAAATAGTGTGTTTTACAAACCCAAATAAATTCCTCTTGAATTCTGAATTCCTAATGTTAGGAATAAATGGTTCAGATTGGTTCGAATGGTTGTGGATGGAATAGAAGAAGCTTTTGCTTAACAGGCTTCCGTGTCTAGTAGCAGTGGATTACTAGTACTTTCAGGCAGGAACGATATTAGCGGAAAAAGAAAACGGTAAATCATAGTAAGATATTATCCCTAGTCCTTATGAATAGGTCAAGTTTCCTCTTGAAGGACTCCCGGGAAGTCGCTTGGACTAGCTCGGCTGGCAGCGAATTCCAGCATTTGACAACTCTCAGGGAGTAGAAGTTGTGTCTCTAGTTTCTGGGTGTTACTCCTTAGGTTTGTGTTGGAGCTAAACATAAGCAGGTGTTTAAGGGGATGTCCGGAAATGATAAGGATACTGTAATCTATTAGAAGACCACTTCTAAGACGCTTATACTCTAATGAGTAAAGGTTTGGTGATTGAAGAATCTCTTCATAAGGCCTGGATTTGAGTCCTCGGACTGATTTCGTGGCTCGCCGTTGTACACGCTGCAGAGTGTCCTTATCCTTTTAAAGTGAGAGAAGAAACACTATGTTTCCGTACTTTAAATTGAGACGAATGTCTCACATGGATTACTTTACACTTTGAAGTGTTAAAGGTAAGTCCATTGTCATCTGCCCAACTTTGAAGTCCAGTCAGATCCTCCTGAAGTGCCTGTATATCGTCTTGGTTACGTATCTCTCTCCGAAGTTTCACATCACCAGCAAAAAGCAATAAGTCAGGCGATACCTTTTGTGGAAGGTCGTTCATATAAATCAAGAAAAGAAGAGGTCCTAGTACTCAACCCTGGGAGACCCTACTAGCACATTACATGGCCTGAGAGAAAGTGAAGTTAACCCTAACCTTACAGTGTCGATTTTTTTTAGATATGAAGTGTGTCAGTTAATTAGGGGTGATTTGATGCCCAATCGTTTGAGTTTATTGATAAGATATATATGGTTGACCCTATTAAAAGCTTATGAAAAGTCAAGGTAAATGACGTCAACCTTCCCCTTGCAATCAGGGATGGTTATCCATCTGTTCACCTCATTTAGCAGGTTGGTTATTCAAGGGTGACCTTTCCTGAAACCATACTGTTTGGGTGAAAATAAGATTAAGGATAATAAATAGTCGTGTATATAGTCGCATTGATATGTGATGGTATAGAGAGAAGAGCCACTTGTCGGTAGCTTGAAGGTTCGTTGCGTCGACCACTTTTGAAAATTGGTGTGATATAAGCCCGCTTCCAAATTTCCGAGTTGTCTCGGCTTAGCGAGTGCGGGAACATCACGCTAAGTGGTGTTGCCAGGATCGAAGCTGATCCCCTCAGTATAGCAGAATGAACCATATCCAGGCCAGGAGAAGTATCTCTTCTTAGGTGCTGCAGTTTACGGCACACAAATTCAGCGCTCACGTTCACTTTGGAAAGTCCTGTGCAGTTGCAGATGAAGCTCTAATAAGTATAGTTAATGTGGGTAGGTTGAAATGTTCGAGATTATTGTCCAGCCAAAAGTTAGCGGCGTCATCGTCGTTATTGGTCGGGCCATTCGAACCCAGAAGTTGGGGAACTCCAGTTTCGGTTTATCGAAGAGAAGCTGCATAATGGAATAAGTCTTTCGGATCGAAGACAAGTTTATCGATAAGCTTTATTTGGCAGTGAAACCTGTCTTCTCTTATCAACTTTGTGCATATATTCCTTATATGTTTGCATTGCCTGTACGCACCGTTGTTGTCAGTTTGTTTGTATTCCGCCAAACAGTGCCTTTTGCGGCTTAGCAAATGAAAAGTGCGATTCTTGATGATTGTAGGCTGCCTGTAGCTATCAGGGACCGTTTGAGGAACTGACTGCTTTGTAGCACATAAGAACGTGTGCAGTAAAAAGTCACGATGAGCATCCACAACAAGTTGAGCGTGAACATCCCAATCCACCTGTCGTAGATAGTCCTGTAGAGCTGACGCATTCAACCGTTTGAAACTCCAGAGTCTGTTGTTGGTGAAATGTCCTTCTTGGTTAGTCTCGTCACTTGTTGAGTCAGTATGTTTTAAGCTTCAAGGATGGCTTGATGAATTTCCGGTGCGTTCAGGTTTGGGACCATGTTGCTTGGAGGTCGAAGCGAGTTTCCGATTCCTAGGCTCTTCGATGATCGGACGGACATTCTTGGGTGTAGTCTTTGGGGCAAAATCACCAAATGATTTCCCTACAATTCTTGGAACGTTCAGCTTCTCGGATTGTGACGCCCTGTTTTTTCCAACTTTAGTACCGAGAGCCCCATCACCTACAGAGATTTTGGGAACCACCATTGCATTTAGGAGCTCTGTGCTAGAAGACCCAAGTCTGATGAGGGAGTCTATTACCGTCGACTTTATGATAGTGCTGAGTTTCAACATGCCATCACTAGTGTTTTTACATACTCCATCGATAGTGGCGCTGTCGAGATCCCACGTCTCATCTTCATTGCGAGTCCTTGTTTATCTAATCGCTTTATGACTGTCTTTTTTCAAGTTTGCCGACAACTTATTCCTCAGACCTGTCAATACGACAGTGATGTTGATCAACAAAACTTCAGCAACCGTGTTGCACATGACACATACCCACCCATGATCCGACTTACTGAGTCTTTTGTAAGCAGTAGCTGTGAGATCTCTGCACGCCTCATGGAACCAACATTTGCAAATGCTGCACTGGATGACAGATGTAACAGCGAAACAGCAACCAGGTCGTTCGCACAAATTTTTCATGGCTATATTTATATCAAATATTTTATAGATGCTAGCAAAAGCCCAGGACCGTAAAAAAACAGCATACTAAAAACAGGCAACAATGGATGAAAATGGGTTACGATAAACTGAATTTAGCCTTTACATGAAAAACTGAAAGAACCGAATACTACGCTGAGGCAAAACCACAGTTTACTAATAAGTTGGGTAAAACTCAGAAAAAATAATCCACCGAACGTAAAGCTCAGAATAGATTCTTTAGATCAGAAATGGCACTTTTAGGAACACAGCAAAAGTTTGAGAAATGCAAATCACGTTAAAACTGCACTTCCTGTTCGAATAGAGTTGTTCAGATGCACCGGGAGCTGAAAAGAGATATTTTTTCAATGTTCCTGTGGACAACCATGTGATAGTAGGATACGGAAGCTAAGTGATTATAGAAGTTTAGAACTGCCGAATAAATTCTGCTTTTAACGACGCTGTTGTCTGTAACAGATATATAACTGAGAGTCTCAAACCCGTTCAAACAAGAAGTAGGGGATGAGTGGGTTTGAAGGTTCAATCGGAAGACAACCTGTGTGTCTATTATTACACAATTTAAGCTATGTAGCTGTTATGGAAGATGCGTAGTACAGGATAGGCAATCGCGACTTGGCGAAAATCCATGACAGAGCGCCTTTAGCCAGGGTGTGAACAGTGAAATCAACAAGGCAAGCATCAATTCTGAAGACTTGCAGAACTACTCCTGGTGTTCTTATTCACTGCTATGTATTACGATGAGTTAGTACTCCGTAAGCATCCTACCTAACTTTTCATTTATTTTTCATAAATTCGTAGCGGCAAATAAAATCCTCAAAATAAATAGTTCTGTAGGTCTCAAACGTTGATGCTGATTTCACTAATTTTGCTAAACACATCCTACCTGAAGGTGCACAGTCACTTATCCGCACCGGATCACGAGTTTTTATGTCATGCTACCCATCCCTTGTAACAACTTGCCAGCCTAGATCAAACGTATCTCTACACTCCAGCAACCTTCCAAACACTCCATCAGACATATTTGCAGCTGTAAACAAGTCTTCGAAATAAATAATTTCAAAGTCCTTGACATCTTATGCAAATATATCTTCAAAGCTCTTCATTTCTGACTTCTGATTTGACTGGGTTGATATCCTACAAGCACAAAGGTGTTACGGATGAAAACATCGTTAAATCCTACGGGATTTCTGTATTTCTAAGCACTACTTACTTACGCCTGTTACTCCTCGTGAAGGAGCATAGGCCACTCCTTTAAAATATCGAGCATATTCAAAAGTATGGAGTGTACTTAAAAAAAATTTGGTTGCTATCTATTTGAATGTCAGGGAAACCACTTCTATGAAGTTGCGACCTATGATCAATTACTTTGGCTATTGTGTTGTTTATTCTGCTACTGCTTAAAAGTGTTCTCACATTAAAATGAACTACAAATTCCATGATACACGAAATTCAATGTCGGATCCCATGAGGCAAACAGAGAAGAATGCTTAGCCTTCAATCTCTAAGGTGGTAATTGATGGACACAAATAAGAGACGGGTCATTATTAAAATTAACTCGATATGCATGTACATCAAAATTAGAAGAGACATTTCAGCAAATGTTCCAAAAAAGCGGCTTTTGAGATCATGAAAATTATTTTCTTGAGATCCAACCTATGTTCGTAAGTTATTCGCAGAGTTTGGAACGGTAAAACAGATGTAATATCGAGCTGAGTCACTCCGCAATATGTTCTAATGTCCCTTACTGTGAATAAACTCCAGCTATACGAAGTTGAGTACAGGACAAACTACTTAACAGTGCCTGTACTTCATGTCCTTTACTTTTACATAAAATTACTCGGATTACTTTTGGCTGTATAAAATACAGCCAAAACATTACCCAACAGCCTCAAATTTTCGACGTTTGCTTTAAAACCTTCCATGAATAAACGATTGAAATGCTAGCCGTATGTAATTCTGTTCAGTTTTTGATATTTGATGATCCGTATCTAGTTTTTGTCCCAATAAATCCCAATCATTTTTTACTTATTTTCG